ATTACAGGGATCTACATATAACCCCCTCCCGGGTGATGGACAACAAAAAGTAGGTGAAGGGAGACATCAGACTGTGTAAGACATGCAAAAATAATAATAATTTATAAATTATCAAGGGTTCATGAGGGAGGGGGTAGTGAGGAGGGAGGGGGGAAATGAGGAGCTGATATCAAGGGCTCAAGCAGAAAGAAAATGTTTTGAGAATGATGATGGCAACAAATGTACAAATGTGCTTGGCACAATGGATGTATGTATGGATTGTGATATGAGTTGTATGAGCCCCCAATAAAATGATTTTTAAAAAAGTGATGGTGGGATGAGCATATTCTGCAAAATAAAGAATAGATATACACATAAAAAAAAAAGAGGTGTGGCATGAGGCCTGGGACTTGATGTCTTACAAACTCCTAGGTGATGCTGCTGCTGCAGGCCCAGGATCCTGATATGAGCCATAAAGTTCTATAGTAACTACAAGGGTTAGTATAGATAACCAAACCAAGCCAGCTGCCATTGAGGAAATCCCCACTCTTAGGGACCCAGGGTAGAATTGCCCCTGGGACTTTCAGAGACCGGAACTCTCTGTGGGAGTAGAAAGCCCCATCTTTCTTGTGTGGGGCAGCTGGGTGGCTTCAAACTGCTGACTTTGCAGTTAGCAGCCCAGTGTGTAACTGTTATGCCACCAGGGCTGCCTGTCAGTATAAAAGCCATTAAAAAAATTATTTTTTAATTTTTTAAATGTTAATAATTGGGAGCTTTTACAGATAACATTCCATAGTTCTATCACATCAAGCAGTATTGTACAACTGCTACCACAACCATTTTAAAAAATATTTTCTTTCTTCTTGAACTCCTTGATATCAGCTCCCTTCTATCCCCGCCCTCCCTCCCCTTACCCCTACGAATGCTTGTTTCGCTTTTTCTTCTATAATAGTTCCCACCCCAATCCAATATAGCCATTGACATATAGTTCTGTCGTGGGTGATACAGTCAGTCATCAGTGCGATCAGCTCCCCGTTCCCCCATCCCTGGCCCTCTCTTCCCATGTAGCTGTCATTTTTTTAATTGATTGATTACTACATTCTCCAAGCAATCATCCTCAAACCAAACTGACATTCATCGAGTCAATGCCAACCCAGAAAGACCCTTGTGGGTTTCCAAGACTTTAGCTCTTTATGGAAGTAGAAAGCCCAGTCCCTCTCCCTTTGAGTTGCTGGTGGTTTTGAAATGCCAACCATGCGGTTCACAGCCCAACTTGTAACCACTAGGCCACCAAGGGCTCTTCAAGAGACTTTACAAGAATGTATTTTAACTTCTGAATGCTGGTTTTCCTATTTACAAGTTAGGTTGCTAAAAGATATAACATAAGTTTGTCTTTGTTAGTGCATTAGTCTGGGTAGACTAGAGCAACAAATTCATAGAGACACATACGTGTATAATAGTTTTATATAAAGGGTGGTTGTACATTAAGAAAGCATCCCAACCCAGTCCAGTTCAAGTTCATAAGTCTGATATTAGCCATATGTCCGATATCAATCTATAAAGTCCTCTTCAGGCTCATGAAACACGTGCAATGATGCCAAATGCAGGACGATCACAGACCAGTGGGTAGGAAGTCTTTAGATCCAGTGGCGTTGTAAGCATCTCAGCGCTGGCAGGGGTCTCTATGTGGCTTCTCCGGCTTCAGAGGTCCGGTTGCATCTGGGTAGGTCCATGTGGCTTTTCCAGCTCAGGGCACTAGCATAGTTCCATGTGTCTTGTCCGCTGCAATGTCTCTCAGGGAGTGAGCAGAGAGAGAGTGTGTCTTCCATCTCCAAGGAGGAAATCCCAGAATTCTCAGGAGAAGAGGAGGCCCACACGGAGGCCTCATTAGTTATATCTTGATTGACAGGCCAGACTCCACCCCTTCACTTGTAATCCTCTCACATTGACCCTAGATTCTGTAACTGCCACAGTTAGGGAGGGAAGCATAGTGTCGTTGGTGAAACATG